TTGATCGGATGAGATGGTTAATAGAGAAGTGTACGTTCCAGAATTTACTTTGGTGGGTTTTTCAAAGATCGGATATACTAAAAGCTTAATCTCGGCTCGAGCTATAGCTGCGAGACAGGGTAAAAAAGCTTCTCAGCAGATTCTCAGCTAGATTTGGACGTTGTCACTTGGGTTTAATGGATATCACTTACGTATGCAATTTTGTACTTCCAAATGATAGTTATACGGAATTTTCTTGGGGATCCAAATATCCAACAGTTAATGCATAAAAAATTACGCCTCAAAGCCAGTAAGACTGTTCCGATGAATGTTGTTCATCTCATTTTAGTGTTGATCAAGATCTAACATTCTTTTTTTCTTCGGAGATATGTCGTCACAGAGTATGCAGGCTTTGGTCGCTGATCAAGGATATAAGCTGTATGGGTTGAGCAGCGGGAGTAGAACACACTATAGCAATGCACAGGATGGGGATGAGAACACCTCAGAGTTTACTTTTGGACAATTTAGTCCAAAAGTAAATTCTTTGCATTTGAATTCAAAGTTCAAGTGTTCGATTCTATCAACTGTGTAGTGTTCTTTTGTGCTTTGCTTCTTTCTGTTCTATCCTTATCTCTCTCAATCTCTCAATCGTCCATTAGACTAATAAATCTCGTCAAGGTATCAGAACAGTCAAATTCTAATGATCGACTGTTCCCTGTATTAAAGCCGTGAAATTTTGTACGCCATTAATGTTCATCGTCCTTTTCATTTGACTTCCGAATATCCCAGAATAGGACTTTCTGTCTTTCAGTCGATTTAGGGTGAGAAAATGGTAGTCGTTAATGAAAAACTGTACCATTTGATTCTATTATGATTGATTATATAATTTCGAATGATTAAATATTCCAGCAAATCGCATCTAGATCGAAGTTTAATGTAATTAATATTAGATATTCCATCCTGTTGTTCTCTAAATTCCATAATTTATATACGGTTCTTCTTCGTTAGCACGTCAGTCAGAAATCTTTCAAGTTTACGAAATATTAATGAATTTGTAAAAATAAATGCGAGTCAGAGTCATAATTCGAACTAGTCCAGCTCTGGTCGAACTGAGATTGATTTGCCACAGAGCTTTCTTTAGACAGAAAGAATTTCACAATCGAGGAACTTATATTTTTATAACAAAATAAACTAAATAAGGTTATTTTGGTCAACAACTTTATTCAAGACGAATTATCTCTGTAAAAAAATAATGATCAAAATTTAAGTAAGAAATGGTCTTCTTTCAATTCTTGCACGATAAGTGAAAATGACTTGTCTTAAATGAAAATCAAACTTTATAAGAATAAAAACGACTCGAAATAAACTAATTTTTTATTTCATAATATAAAAAACGCACACATACACATACACACACACTCAGCGAGATAACACTATTCTTGACCGAAACAAAAAAGTTACAAAAAATATGAATAAAAACTATCTATCTAGACATAAAAAGCATCAAGTTAAGAACCAAAAAATCGGCCCAACACTCTGTCTTTCAAACTTGTCTTTCTATAATAAACCAAAAACATTATTCAGTACAAATGTCTAAATAGTAATTATGAGACTTACGGTTTTTGTTCAACTAATTTAATATCAATCGGTTGTCCATCTTTTACTCTCTGAGCTAATGTTTTAACTAGATTTTCTCGTAAGCTCTCTTTCCACGGTCGAATCGATTTTTCTAATTGATCGGTCTCCATTGCTTCTAATTTATCAACAGCTTCATCGGGTAATAAACCTATCCAATCAATTTCTTCTTTCTAAGATAAAACAATCACCTACAGAATTTTGACTTTTTCCTCCTAAAAGATATACTCACTGGTATTTGATATTGTTTGTATTTTTGATAAATAGTTTCACATTTTTCTGCGTCATTTGGCCACAATTCTGAATCTTTATTAGCTAATTTATGTAACATCTGACGTCGTAGATCAAAACCAAATTTTGAATTCAGATCTTTTAATGGTGTCTAAATACACAGACAAAATGACAGTAGATAAGAAGTTAA